GAGATAAACTTACCAAGGGTCATACCCGCTGCTACTAGACACTGCTTGTAAGCCTGATGCCAGTAGAAATAAATCTACCCAGGAAAAAGAGTTTGCAATCAGATCAAAGCAAAGTATACAAGGACCGCAGTTAGCTAGATTAAAGAAGGTTTACTATCATCTGTAGAGAAACATCGAATCATGGCACTTATACCAAATAGGAGGTCAATGATTCAGCAGAACTCCGGCATGATACTTCTTCAGGAATCAAGAGCATCTCCAAGTTCACGTAAAGGTATCACCCTTCAAATATTAACATCTGTCGACCTCAGCGCCTCAACCCATAGTCTCACAAAATAATCCACATCAATCAATACCATAACGTAATAGCCAATGCATCTTCACATAAAATTGAAAACCGAATAAGAAGTCAATTTGAACATCAGCAATTCTTTATCCTTTTCTCCCTACAGAGAGTGGTTGAGCATGTTGAGTAATCCATTATCCCTCAAAATGCACCGTAAAGACAATACAACCCCCATAACTTGTTGATTGAAATATAACGATCCCACAAGCAAGAAATTTGAGAAGAATTAACACGATCCAATAAATAAGAAGAATGAGTCTTCGTGATTGATTAGCAATGCATCTCCCAGAAGAGTCTGGTTGAAGGCATTTAAGTAAAAGTGTCATTCAATTGCCATCAAGCAAACAATTTGAAGAACGACAATCAGAAGGATATTGCCTTCTATTAGACTTTTATCTCACCCACCGCCCCTAATAAACTTCTGAAGGATATTTAAGAAATTCAGGGAACTGACATTCCAAACTTGCAACAAAGAACCCAAAGAAATTGAATACAGTGCATATTTTCTGAAACATCTAAGTTGTTTGGTGTAAATGTTATTCATCAAGGTTTTATTATAATCTTAAATGCAATGATACTTCAAACTATTTTACAACTTCAACAGAATACATGATAAGAAACTAAAAAACAAGATAAGGTTATCACTTCCTCTCTTAAAATAAGGTACATTAAAGTAAAAGAAGAAAAAGTTTGACTTCCCTTTTTCAGGGTGCTCTAGGGTCCATTCCATGTTGCCAAACATAAACAAGTTCATCCCATCCTGTACTAGCCAATAGCCCTTCAACGAGAACGCTCATATCAACTCCGACAGCAAACTCTGTGTGATGATCATACCTCCCAATAAGTGCATCTTCCACCATGTAATCCCACATGCAAACAGTCATGTCATATGAACATGAAACCATCGCACTCGCTCTATGTGGTGAAAACCTCACTTTCCTCACTGCATATCCATGCCCATTAAGCACGGAAATTGGCACTCTATAATTCCTAACATCCCAAACCTTGATTGACTTATCAACTGATGCGGTTGCAATGATACAATCATCATACTTATTCCAGTCACATGAGAGAATTTCAAACTCGTGTGCAGGCAGAATCATGGTAGACCCTACACAAACCATGAGTTAAATGAGTTAATAAGTTCTAACAATTTAAATGTAATACACAACAACTTACCGAGGAGATGACCCTTGATAGGAGGGTGTGGAGGTCGAGAATTAGGGTAAAAGGTTAGTAGGACGTTGAGCACATTCTCTTTTCATACCTATATTATCATCAATGCTCTAGTAGTTTCTTATACGTAGGTCTCTAGTACTACTGGTTGTCTTTTTTGCTTTGGTTGTCTTATTATCATGTTGTTGTTACTGCTTCTTTTTTGCATGGCTTCTCCATTGATGTATTTCTTTTCAATTATATTGTGACTATACTTTTTCTGAGTCGAGGGTCTCTCGGAAATAGCCTCTCTACCTTCACAAGGTGGGAGTAAGGTTCGCATATACACTACCCTCCCCAAACCCCACTTGTGGGATTACACTTGGATTGTTGTTGTTGTTGTACTCATGCATGCAGAAACACAATTCCATGTTCAGACCGACTTTTTTTTCTTGAATGATTAAAACGCTTAGTCCCATTAACTTGTTTTTGCAAACTTCAATGCTCAAAGAAGCTACCAAGGAATCAAAAACTGTCCCATTGTCTACGCTTTACAGCAAATAAAAACAAGCCATATTGCTTCAACTCATCCACATTCTAAACATTTCAATACTTGGACCCTTTAGTTCCATGTGCAGCTATGGTTGAAAAACATACCAACCACATGTATGGCGCCTAGTTTATGCGCCTTTAAACAAATAACAAATCAATCATTTGAATTATCAACCTAATCAAATCAGCTAACAATTTTTTTTCTTAAGTACTCATTCAAAGCAAAGATCAACCAAATACATCCTTAAAAAGCTGTATGAACCAAACTATCGATCAAGGAAAAATATTTGGGAACAGCAAACCTGGTTCACGGACATCCCAGATACGAGTAGTACAATCCCCAGAAGCAGATGCAAAAATATCAGCATGCCTTGGATTCCAAGCTGTGGAATACACACAATAAGCATGCTCCTTAAAAGTCCGTACACTAGCATTCCTATCCACTGTCCACAGCTTCACAGTATCGTCCCAAGAAGCTGACAAGAAGGAATCTTTTCTCACTGTATTATAATCTACAGCGTGCACCTCGCGTGTATGTTCCTTGAAGGCACGAATCGGGTTGTTGGTGGGAGGCAAAGAAAGGTCGTAGAGTTTTACAGAACCATCGCCGCTTGCGGCGATTACGAGGGAATCGTGAGCTTCAGACCAGCAAACGTCGTAAACGCCGTCAGCGGTGTCGTAAGCGGCGATTTCCGATATGGGTCCGTTTGGAGTGAGCTGAAGAATGTGAACTCTGCCGTTACCAAGGATGCCGAAATTCTGTGCGGTGGCGACGGCGATTTTGTTTTCGTAAAAGGGGCTGAATTTGACGGAGTAACCGTTAAAGGGGGTTCTGAATACCGGCATCTTAGTCGGTGGTTGGTGGTGCTGGGGATTAACCCTTCGGTTTCTCGATGTAACTTTATCCGCTCGGGAATAGGAAATTATCTATAGACTATACTTCAACGGACGGACAGTACTTTTAGACCGTGAAATTGCCTTGGACTATGAGGTCAATCCAACCGAGTTCCTTAATTAGGTAGGCTAGGTTAAACATTTTTCACCTCATCCAAACCTTAAAGCTATTTCCTTTCTTTCTATAATCTATTGACTCGTAGAGGTCTTCAAAATTATCTTTTGTCTCAAATATATCCATGAACAATTAAAAATATTTAAAGACTCATTAAAAACATATTTTTTCTCTCCTCTCCGCTCTGTCGCCTCTGTCCACCCAAAAGCTTAGAGAATTGAATATTGAATCTTAGATGCACACCTTTGTGAAACTCAAGAAAAACACACCACAAAATGTTTTTACCCAATTAAATATAATTACAATATTATTTTTACCCAATTAAATACAATTACAACATCATACAACTTAAATATAATTTCATACAAAATTTATACAATATACTTTTTATATGTATTTTGTATATGGTTAGTATACATTTTGTATGTAGTGTGTTCTTTTTCCTCTCTGAAATTTCAATCAAAACTTTCTCTTAATAAAAATTTTATACATATCAACAACTTTATGTAAAAAAAATATAGTCTTTATAACTTAAATATAAATTTCATATAACGATTCATATATTATACAATTATTTTTCAACATTCATATAATATTCAACTTTCATACAATGTAATTACAACATAATACAACTTAAATACAATTTACATACAACTATAATACAACTTTAATAAAATTTTGGCATAATTTTGTATGTATATTGTATGTCAAGTCTTCGTCTTCTTCTTCTTCTTTCAATCTGAAATCCAGCCAAAATCAGCTCTAATCTTCCCAAACACCCTCAAAATTGAGATATAAACTCCAAAGAATATTCCCAATTATTTGCAATAACACTCATCCAAACGAAAATAATATTTTTTGAAAATTCGAATTCGAATTCAAAGCTTTGAACCTTTTTAATGGTTGTCAATGATGGAGAGTCAAACACCTTCAAAATTTGTTGATTGACAATTTTAATTTAAGCATCAATTGTGCAACATGAAAGAAAATTGATAAGTGAAAACTCTATAGTAAAACGATTGAAATCCAATGATGAATTCTCTGGGGAAAAAATGATAAAGTAGATGAGAAAAGAAGGAAAATAGAGAAAATTGAAGGAAGAAAAATGTCACGACCCAAAATCCAACTAGTCGTTATGGCATTTATCTCAACCCGCTAGGTAAGCCAATTTATCAATAATCCAACTCAAGGAGATCTACTGAGAAAATAAATGATGAAATAACTAAACTTTTATACAAAAAAATTTCAAGGATTGGTAGTACAAATCATGAGCTTCTAAGATTTAGAGTTTAGCAAGTTGGTATGAAATAAATACATCATCTGTCTGAAATGTACATAAACAGATTTTTATAAATCTAAAGCTAGCATGAACAAGAGGGAGCTATAACCAGAACATAGGTAGATCTTCAATGCCAGCTCCCTCCATACACAGCAACATAAACTCCAAAATCTACACGCAAGATGCAGAAGTGTAGTATGAGTACAATCGACCCCATGTACTCAACAAGTAACAACTCTAACCTTAGGTTAAAAGCAGTGACGAGGTTGGACAACGATCAAAGTCCAACACCAACAGCCAAGAACAACTCGTAACAATATAATAAAACAGTACAAGTAATACTCAAAGATATGATGCTCAGCTCGTTCATAGTTACGGAAAATAGGCATGTTTTTCAAGTATAACAATAAAACTCAAATCTTTTACTGAAGTCACCAAAATGTGAGTATGTCAGAAAAACTGTGATTTTTCCCAAAAACTTTCAATAACAGATAAGATGCTCCATTATCAGATATCATGAGGAAAGTACATCGCTATGCCTACATGTCAATGCGTATGAGAAGTCATAAATGTCACAATACCGTATAGCATGAGGAAATGTATCTCTATGCCTACATGCCAAGTATGTATGTCAAATGTAATGCACCACAGTGATAAACTCATGTGCTCATGCTCTCGGAGTATTCAACCTCACTCAGCATGCTCAATCATTCAACAACTCCCAATCACTCAACACTCTCAATCACTCAGCACCTCCCAATCACTCAGCACTCTCAATCACTCGGCACTCGCACTCATCAGTACCTGTGCTCACTGCTGGTATGTCAGACTCCGGAGGGGCGGATCCTGCCCAAGCGCTAATATAAGCCAATCATGGCATGCTGCGGCATGCAACCGAATCCCATCATGAATCAATAAAGCATGTTGCGGCGTGCAACCCAATCTCATAAATATCACTCACAATCAATCGAGTCATAATTCACACGGTGCACGCCCACACGCCCTTCACCTAGCATGTGCGTCACTTCAACACCAAACACATAACACATATATTCAAGGGTTTATACCCTCAGCACTAAGTTTAGAAGTGTTACCTACCTCGAACAAGCCGAATCCAATATCGAGCAAGCCAAACAATACTTTAGAAATGCCATCCCACGCGTACCAACCTCTGAACGGCTCAAATCTAGTTAAAAGCAACTCAAGAACGTCAAATAATGCCAAAGGAAACAAACTCAATCGATAAAGGTGGAATCTTTAATCAAAAGCCCAAAGTCAACTAAAAAGTCAAACTCTGGCCCACACCTCGGAACCCGACAAAACTCACAAAATCTGACAACCCATTCAATTACGAGTCCAACCATACTAATTTCACTCAAATCCGACTCCGAATCGATGTTCAAAACTCAAAAATTCACTTTAGGAAAGTTT